GCGCCTCAGCACCCAGCTGGGGAGGTAACTCAGTCACTCCTAAGGTTGGCCTCCCACAATTGACATCATTAATCATCCTTTTTTCTGTTGAAAAATTTTAGAAGTAATGATTATTATATGGTATTTTCCATATTTTTTGAAGTTAAGACTTTATTGTTTGGCCACCTAGAGAAACCCATGAGCCATAACTTTAAAGACACATATATATTTATTTAATAATTTCATTTGAATTAGATTATTTAGATCCATTTAATTCTTTAAATTTTAATTAATGAATGATCATTTGTTTAAAAGCCAATTTACTACCAAGTATATAATATATAGATATAAGACAGGCCTGTATAATTGGATATGTCAGGTATAAAAATCCCACAGGTATCATGGACACTGAAATCAAAGTTTCAGTTATCCGGCATTTTTGTCCTTGACACCTGGTAAGACTCATTCCTAACATAACCATATTTATATCTTAGGATTTATTAAAATAAATTTTTGAATGTATTTGAGAGTTAACTCTGGAGAAATTGGCCTTTGGACAAAGACAATGTAAAAAACTTTGCACTTAGATAAAACAAGACTGATAAAAAAAAACATAACAACTTACATAGAATATTTAAAAACCTAAATCTCAGTAATATTAAACTTTTCATTAGGTCAGTAGGAAGCCTGTGAAATTCATTTTTCTAAAAATTTATATATGATAGCAGAATGCATTACAATTCTTATTACATTTATAGAGCACAATTTTTCATATCTCTGGTTGTATACAAAGTATATTCACACCAATTTGTGTCTTTATACATGTACTTTGGATAATAATGATCAGCACATTCCACCATCTTTTATAATCCCATGCCCCCTCCCTTCCCTTCCAACAACCTCTGCCCTATCTTCTTGTGAAATTCTTAAAAAAAAAAAAAACTTTTTTGAAAGAGACAACTTGCACATTTGGAATCTTTCTACTTTTCTTTCAATGTTGCAATATTAGGGAGGAGGAGGAGCTGGTTAAGAAACTTGACTGAAAACAGGTAAAATAGCCGGCCAAGCAGCTTGGATTTTAAAAAGACACTTTTTTTTCTTCTTTTGTCCAAACTGTTTTTTTTTTTTTAATAACCCTAGTAAATCATACAGGGGCTGTAATTCACATTTAAATATAAGGCTAGGAAAGTTAGAAATCCAGCAAAAGTTAAAAAGTTGTAACTATTTTTCCTTTTATAAGACTATCCTCTTAGAGCATGTTGTTGGAGTTTATATTCTTTCTGGAGAGTATTTTTTTTTCTTTTTCTTTTTGTTTTAAACCTACCAAATCTTGTAATAGTTTCCACATATTGTTGAATATAAGCAATGATTTGTTGTGGATTGGAAGGGGCAGAGCATGGTAGCCACAGGGAGGTTTTGGACACTTGGTTATTTTTGTTTTCTTTTCCCCAAACCGGGTGGCATCTTGGGGCTATGTATAAAGCCATACCATAAAAGTATTTATTACCATGACATTAGTATTAGTGTCTGTTAATCCTGTAATTGACTGCTCATTAAAAACAAAACATTAAGTTAGGTCTACTTTCAGTAATTGACAAACATGCTCCAATAAGAGTAGAGTCAAACCTTGTATTTACCCTTTCATTTAAAAGTTGTTGCTGAGGATTAAACCCAGGAGGTTGTGCATTTAAGGAAAACACTTTACCAACTGAGCTGTTGTCCCCTGTAAAGTCTCACTGGGATGTCTTCAGTAGTAATCAAATCTACTCCAGTGCTCCCTCTAGTAGCATGAAGGTATTTGTGAAACGATGTTGAAAGGGCTTTGTTAGGAATGGGGCATATTCCATTTCCAACAATTCAATCATATTTAGGGTAAAATTACTATTCACATTGTTTTCTAAAAAAGTACATTGCAACTCTTTAAATATAACACAAGGTAATTGCTTATGCTCTGGCTGATCAGCAAAATTCAACTCAATGGGACAGACAGCTAAACTATGAAATCCCTCCTTTCTCCACAGCTTGTCCCAAACGCTTAGTTAACTTGGATTTAGTTGGGGGAGGAGCCACTGCTACAGGTTCCCCTGAAGACAAAGGTAGTAAATCAACACTCCGTGTTCCCAGCAGCAGCAGGCAGCCAGCCACACTGCAGAAGCTGCTGTGGTAGTTCTTTTAAAGAACTTGGATGTCCAGGCACAAAAAAAGAATAGTGGTCAGTTTGAGAAACTGAGGCTTTATTAATTGCATCCCTACAAAGAAACCAAGTTTCTAATACCACTATACAAGCATGTGGCATCTCATGAAGAGTTTCACCTATCTTCTCCCAGTCTTTCAAATTTACTGACCCACTTTCTGGATTAAAGGGACAGCAAGAGCTTATCTCTGTTAGCAAGTCAGTAGGATTATTGTCACAGTTTGCCCAGCCTTTGCGAAGTAGGAAAGAAAGTTCAGCCTGATGACGCATCTGCTTGTCAGAGAATTTTCCATGGCATCACTAGCTGATGAAAAGACACCTAAAAGCTCTCTCTTTTGGGCATGAACCACTCCCTTCCCCCATTACCTCCAATGTCTGGAAGGATCTTTTCCAGGGCTGATTTTGTTGTCCCAAACTCTCTGTGGACTGGGAGGACTTGTGGGGTTCAGTACCTCAATGTTGGACATCAGCTATAAAGAATACCTATGGAGAAAACCTGTGAAGAGACAAAGGGACAGACACACACAGGGTACAAGGAGGCAGGGAAAGGTGGCAGATAAAAGGGGAAGCAGAGAGGAGTGAAGTGAAGTAGTGAAGAAGAAGTGTCTGCTCCTCCCTGTTGCCAAGTTTATTACCTCAAAAAGTTTTCATGTTACCCATCACCATGATTACACTCTAACCTGTATTCCTTTAACCCTGAGTGCTAGCAAACTGAGATAAGTTCCAGGTTAATACAAACACAGATCCTCACACATCTAAGGGTGTTCCTATAGAAACCAGGTAGTACTCCCACATAGTTATCTTAATAGCCTTCAGGAAAGTGCTGGGCTTTCCAATTGTGGGAATCAGGGTGCCAGTTAATCACCCAGGAGTTCGCTCACCAGGGGAAAACTTTCCTGTCTATTTCCACAGTCAGAATACCTACAACCTGAGAGGCATGCCTGACTTCTCCTGCCACTATAAACTTCCAAATGTGGTCACCTATGGGGGAAAAAAGACCTATGTGTGGTGTGCTTCTCTACACTGTGGGACAAAGGAATCTCCAGTGTATAATGAAGACATTTAATGGTTGTTAGGTGCTTAACGCCCTTTTCCCAGCAGACTTTACAGAAGGGTCGTGAATTGAAAAATGCCTCCCTTTTACAGCCAAAGAAACCCCTGGAGTACAGAAACAACAATGGGGAGAATCCCTACAGGCTTGTAAAGACTTAATATGTGAATGAAGGGAACCCAGACATTTCTTTAGGAACAACTCCATGTAAAATGTCCCTCTCTCAATGACTAGTTTGATTGGAGAGGGGAGGATGGAACTGCTCAGGAGGAATGAGTATGGGAGTGTGCAGTTCAGCTCAAAGGGAAGTATGTGTCACTGGGGCTTTCCCTTTTCATCAACCAGTTACCACAGGATGCCCCATAAGAATGATCAGGAGAAGAGTCAGGAAGAAACCTTTTAATATCACTGGGGAGTGGCCTTGGTCAGAATCTCAAAAATTGTTCCAACCCTTTATCTGTCTCCATGCATCCAAAGGCAGATAGGACTAGGGACACTGGGTACTCATGCCAGGCATGGCTCTGAGCCTGGATGGGATAGTGAGAAACAGCTTTGGCAAAATCCAACTTGCCTGGCCTGCAGGACAGGTGATTAGGAGTCACCTATGCCATGAATTTTGTCACCCAAGTCTTGTAGAAAGACAGCTTAAATTAACTGCATTTTTAATTAGCTGACAGGTGCCCATTATTGTCCTCCAGGAAAAAAGAAAGGTGCACTTTTCTTTAGGAAGATGTGAGGTGCTGAGGAGCTAATCCTGGTGATCTTTCCTGCAGAGCCCCCATCTGAAATTGGTCCTAAAAATCAGGATTGGGTCCTTTTCCCCCAGTGTTGATGATTAGCCACCCAATTTTGCAAGAGCAAAATTTTTATTTAAAGGATAGAAAAGAAAGAGAGAGAAAGAGAAAGTCCTCCAGAGAGAAGGGGTCCCAGAGCTGGTATCCAAGGACGTGGGGTGACCTGCACCTTTTATAGATTTCAGGTTTCTTTCCTATTATGTCCCTCTCTTCCTATCCTACCTATATGGCCAAAGGGAGGGAAGGCAGCCTTCCTTGGGGTACTTCTCCCTATTTTCCATATCTTCCCAGAAGGCAGGAAGGGAGCCACCTAGTAGGCACTCAATAACACTATCTTTGCTAGGAGGAACAATTCCCTGGAGGAAGGAAAACTTGGCAACAGGCTGGAGAAGGGGAAAGTGCTCTGGAGATATTAACATTTTATTACCTTTTGAATCAGCCCTCATATTCCTGACCCAATCGTCCAGTATCTCCATGACTCTCCTTTTGCCCTAATGTCAATGCCACCAGCCGTGAACAATTTTTAATTCATTTAATTTCCTTGGCACATGCCCGTAGTCCTGGAAGCTTGGGAAGCTGAGATGGGGATCACTAGTTCAAAGCCAGTCTCAGCAACTTAGTTAGATCTGTCTCAAAATAAAAAGTGCTAGGGATGGAGCTCAGTGCCCGTGGGTTCAATCCTTAGTCCAAGAAGCAAGGAGCAGGGAGGGGCTACATATGGACATTGGACATCTGTGCAGTTGCTGCATCTCAGCACAGACTTCTTGGTCAGTCTATGGTAGCAGTTCTAGAGTGCAACTGATGTCACCTGAATCAAAGGTGAGAGAAGTAATCACTGTGAGAGAAGCCACAGATATTTGGCCATTTTCAGCTCCAATTGGGTTGGCAAAATGGTTTCTGCTCCTCACCAAGACTTATGGTGGGAAGAATCCGCCAAACACAGAAGGTTTCAGGGGCTTAACGGCAAGTACAATGACACATGTCAGTGTAATAAAAATCCATTTATTATAATATGAAGCCCAAGGGGAGGCAGTTGAGGGAAAAGACAGGGACAAACCACTTCACAAGTTGTGCCTGGGTAGCATGACTTGTTGCCTAAAGGGTCCCTGGTGGTATCCCAGCCAGCAGGACTAGCTTCAAAACAGAAAGAAAGGGGACAGAGCTCTGCCAAATGCATCATCTGCCCTTTTGTTGAAAAGACAAAATCTGTTCTAGAAGTCCTCAATCGACATTTGCACATGTCTCTGGAAATGAGGGAAACTGAGAAGTTATTGAGTTTGGTAGAGAGCCACCTCCTTCCCCAAACTGGAACTCTGTTACCACAAAAAGGAAGAAGTGAAGATAGGATAAACAATGAGCTCTGTCTGCTTCAATTGGCTGGGTCTGAAAGGGTGATAACTATCACCAAACTTCTCCCCATGCCATCTCCCCAGAAACCATACCTATATGGTCTCTATATTAGACAGCTTTCTCTTGCTCTAACAAAAAACCAAGAGTGGATACTTTATAAAGAGATGAGGTTTATTTAGCTCAGAGTTAGCGTTTTGGCAGCCCCTGACCTTTAGTGAGGGTCATCATAACATGGTGAATGAAATAATGGTGGGAGGACATGCATGTGGTAGAGACCAGGCTTGCTCTTTTAATAACAACCCACTCTCACAGGAACAAATGAGGGCCCATGTGAAGTACGTTACTCCCTTCCAAGGGCCTAGTCCCCAGTGACTGAAATATCTCACACTGGGCCCCACCTCTTCTAGGTTCTACCACCTCAACACTGCCACACTGAGGACCAAGCCTCCAGCCTACGAAGCTTTGCGGGACAAACCACATCCAACAAAGCCAACATCATAAGAGCAGATTGTCCCAGTTCACAAGTGTGTATGTCGGGGTAGGGGAAGGTTGCTCTCAGAAGTCACAGGAAGCCGCCAAAGCCCCCATGCTGGAACGTCTCTGATGTCACACTTGTTGTCATGGCACTCTGGGTGCCAACCCAGAAGAGCCATCTGGTAGCTCTCAGAGCAGGCAACTAAGTTATGACTATCTCAAATGTTTTCTTATCCCCACCCAAACATCCAAACATGTCTGGCTTTTCCCCAGCCTTTGGGCATCTGTTAATGTGGTAGCACTGGTCACTTTGAGTGGCATATTTTTTGCCTTCCCGTGAGTATCCCATACAAGCTGCCAGGTTTCTTACAAAGAGCTAGGAGGAAAAATAGACAGTGGTAGTGAAGAGGCAGGGAAGTGGAGAGAGGGTCAGGAGGGGAAAGAAGGATATATCGTTAGAAGCACAGAGATCTAGAGTGTCTGACACATTTAGGAAACTGAGGGTGGCTGGTAATGCTGGTGACATTTGGTGGACTCTCTGTGGTCTGCCTCTAGCCTGGATATTTAGAGCATGAGCCAGGGCTCATGGGGCACTCTGGGTTTCCCCAGACTAGAACTGAGTCTGGCTCTGGTTTCATCTGCTGAGGACTGGCCCAGAGTGGAGAATGGGCCCTTCCAGTGACCACAGAGCTTCTCTGTCTCCTCACTTTCTACAGCCTCATTTCCATGAATATATGGGACCCAGGCATTTTGCACAGAGGTAAGGCCTCAGAATCTGGGAGAATGAGGTAGTACCCCAAGGGCTGAGGCCTATAGGGGTGATTTCTAATGTGCTCACCCCACCTAGGGCCTCAGGATCCCTTTCCTCCATGTCATCATTAATTAGGCCCTTGCACTTCATTTCCCAAGCCACTGAGGTGTGATAAAACAGAATCCTGGAGGTTTTCCAGTTACTTTAGAATGGAAGACCAGACAGGCTGGCAAGAAAGGCCAGCAGGCTCTTCCAAACCACACAATTGACCCTAACTCCTTCCCATTTCACACATGTCTCCAAGCACAAATCACTATTCCAAAGGGTGGAGCTCCACAGAGAGCTCTTCTGGCTGGAAACCCCCTTCTCTCTGACTGCCAGCTCATGTGAGTGGTCAGCTTGCTCAACAGGAACCCGGATTCACCTGCCCACCTCCTCCCCACCCTCTTGCTGTCTAGTGATGCTATGGGACTGCCCCAAGCAGCAGAGTGATCGAAGGGCCTCATGCCACTGCCCAAACCTCTTCCCATGCCAGGCTCTGTTAAGCAGGACTCGGAGGCACCCTATATGGCACAGGTGAACAACAAATCTTTCCCAATGCCATGGTGTGCCAAATGTAATTTCTACCACCTGCCCGGAACCTACCACTGTGAAACCAGCAACATCTGTGTGGAGGTGAGTACTCCTCCCCGTCCACTCACCAACCCATCTCTGGGCACCTAGTCAGGACCAGGAACCTCCCATCATAAGTGGGCTGGGGTGGGTATGAGACCATCTTCTCACACTGCTAAAAGTGCCCTCAGCCACTGTTGCTCACTTACCTATGCCATCACATCTGTCCTGAGAGGCTGGCCTTGCTGTGCACAAGTGCTGACATGCAAAGGGCATCCCATCTGTGCTGAGCCTGGTGGAGTCGGGGAGGAAAGGCAGTGACTGTCCCATCCCTTGGCTTGCTAATACTATATACCCAGACCTTTAGGCTGGCTGCTGCCCTGTTCTGTGGATCTTTGCCTGTCCACCTCTGGGTGTCCCAGTTGGAGGGTTAACTGGGTTCTGAGTGTTTTTCTCTCCTGTGCACAAGTTTATATCTGCACGGGTTTACAAGTGCACAAGGTTCACTGGGCAAGGGTGTTTTCTTTCATCTTTATCCAGTATCTGAGAAAATAGATGCCCAGAGTTATTCTACATCCTGCTCCAAGTGACACCAGGCAGGACTTGCCTCTAAAGATCTCAGTCATGACAGGTGACCTGATGAGCCATGGAGTCCTGTGCTCTAGCAATGGAAATGCTGTTTTCTCCCTGGAGATGGGAGCCCATGTGTATGGCCAAGAGCAGGAAGCCTAGAGGGCTGAGTTGTGGGAAGCCTCAGGATTTGGGGGTGTTGGAGTCCAGGTCAGATGGACCCTCAGTGCTGCCTCCTCTCCCCTAGGTATTCGACCACCACTGCAGGTGGGTAAACAACTGTGTGGAGCACCGCAACATCAGGCTCTAGGTGCTGCTGCTCCTCTCGTTGTGTCTCTACCTGGCTTCCTTGCTGGCTAGCTGCGTGCTTGGCATCCTGCGCAGGAGGCACATGCCCTTCCTTGACAGAGCCATGAAGTATCCACACAGTCCCAAGGGCCCACACTGGGACCAGCTCTGGTGGAGAGGAGGGAGAGGTGGTCAGCCAAGCGGCTGGGTAACTGAAGGCGGGGCTGACTGGGCGGGGCTAGAGGGAGAAATCAGTTGGGAGGACAGTTGAAGGACACGTTGAAGGCCAGTGGGGGCGGGGTAAGATGTGGCCTGTGGAATTGAGAATCCAGGGGGTCCACGGAGTCGGGGAATGAAGGTTGAACAGGGACAGGAGGAACCACAGTGTGGTCGGGTGAGGTTCGGCTTGGGTGTACTGGACTAATGGTCCAGTCCAGGGAGGAAGAGTTGGTGGGCGTGGCTACCTGGGGCACCACCAGGGGGGGAGGAGTCGGGTGGAGAGGCGGGGCCAGGGAGAAACTGTCCCCTGGCTTGGCTTCTTAGCCTGTGCACAGCATCATAGTGGCTGTACCTGCTGTGTGTATCCTGCTGCTGCTCATCCTGCAGCTGCTCATCGAGATCAGAGTGGTGAGCACAGCAAGATGCCACTATGAGACCCAGGTAAGCTGGACCCTGTGTGTGTTCCCTGATACCCAGCTGGGAGGTGAAATTTTGCATCTCTGCCACTAGGCATTACCTGCGCTTTCTCCACTTCCCTTGGCCTTGATGGTGCCCCTGAGTCCTTCCAGACCCACCTCTTAAGAAGCAGCCCGGATCTCTCCTCCCCTTGGAGCTATGTGGCCATGCTCCCTCCTGGGCGCATTGCATTGAAAGCAGATTGTGAGCTAGTATGCGTGTTATTTGAGGGATGGTTATAGAGGTGAGTAAGTACATCCTGCACTTGTGTTGATAAGCAGCTTGCAATCAGAATGACATGCAAAAAGGCATGGAAACTGGGAAGTAGGGTGTTAACAGAATGATGAAACAGATGTAATTCAAGCACAAGGTGGCACGGGCAGTGAGGTTGACCCCGTGGGGTCAAGATTAGAAAGGCCCTTAGTTTTGATGAAGTGGAAACCTGGGGCCCATGGTAAAGTTTTGTAAAAATGTCATTTATGGAGGAATAATTTACAAATAGTATAATTCACCTTGTTTAGTCCATAGTTAGGGATTTGACAAATAAATACTGTCAACTTGAGTACTCTCCACCAATTTCATTACCTGGAAAATCCTTTCATTTCATTTCTTATTGTCAATTTCTCTCCCTACATCCTTGTGGTTTTTATCTTTCCAGAGTCATGTATAAATGTAGTTGTTGCCTTTTTAGCCTGGCTTCATTCATCTAGCACAATGCATTTCATATTCCTCTATGTTTTTTCTCATATCAGTAGTTTATTTCCTTTTATTTCTGTATAGTATTGTACAGACAGCCTACAGATTATTTATACATTCACCCATGGAAGGAGTTTTACTTTGTATCTAGTTTTTTGGCAGTATTTTTGTTTGTTTTTGTAACTGGAATTGAACCCAGAGGTGTTTAACCACTGAGCAATATTCTCAGCCCCATTTATTTTTTTCTTTTTGAAAAATTATTTTAAGATTTTGAGACTGTGTCTCATTAAGTTGCTTAGGATCTTACTAAGTTACAGATGCTGGCTTTGAACTTGTAATCCTCCTGCCTCAGTCTCCCAAGCCACTAGGATTACAGTTATGAGTCACTGTGCCCAGCTAGTTTGGGGGAATTATAAATAAATAAGGCTTCTAAGAACATTGAGGTATAGGCATGTGAACATAACTTTTTATTTCTGTTGGGTGAAATTGTAGGGGTGGCATTGATGAGTTATAAGGTAACCATATGTGACACTTTATAGAAATCACCATAGCCTTTCTACTTTCTCCCACAGTGTTGGTGAATTCCAGTTGTTCCACATCATCACCAACATTTGATACTATTATTTGTCGATATTTTGTTTTGTTTTCAAATTGTAACCCTTCCAATAAATGAGTAGTGTATCTTATTAGGGCTCCAGTCTGTTTTCCCAATGAGTAATGATGTTGAGCATATTTTCATGTCTTATCAGCCATCTGTATGTCTTTGGTAAAGTGTTTTCTCCAATTTTTGGCCCATTAAAAACCAATGGGTTATTTTCTTATTGAGTTTCAGGGGTTTTGAAATGTGGATTGAGATCCACGTTTTGCAAATCTTTTCTTGCTATTCATGGCTTATCATTTCATTTTCTTCATAGCATCTTCCAAAGAGCAGGAGTTCTTAGTGATGTTGTTTTTCCAGGAGTGGGTGTTGAATCAGGGATGCTCCACCACTGAGTTTCTTCCCCAGCATTACTTATTGTTTCCCACTCTACATGGAAAATATGTCATCTACAAGGAACAGATTCATTACTTTCTTTCCAATCTGTGGGTCTTTATTGCTTTTTCACTTGGGGGTTGAACAGGAATGAGAAGGGTGGTCATGATGGCCTCGGGACTACTTTAGTAGGGCAACAACTCCTCTAAAGGCTCCTTCAGGAAGACAGGTGGGCAGTACCACTGGGGGAAGGGGAAAGCTGCAGACCCAGGGACAGCTGAGAAGACAGAGGAGCCTGTGGGCTCAGCACTTCCCATCCTTAGTCACCCTTTCACCACAGCCATATCTGGTCCCCTCCCCCCTGTGACTCCTCTGCTTAGCCCTTACTCCTCAGCCCTGTGGCCTGCCCTCCTCCTCCTCTCTCCAGCTTCAGTTCATCATTTAGTTTTCCTGGCAGCATTTTCCCTTCCCCCATCCTGTGGTTCTTCTAGATCCAGGTCAGGCCTTAGGCCATTGCCCTTCCTCCTCTGCTCTGCTCAGAATGAGGTCCTCCATGAACAGATTGCCCAGTCTCAAGGGACCTAAATGTGGCCTGCCCTCTGGGATTCACCAGACAGGGCTCCTTTCCATTATCTGCAGCACCTGAAACAGGCACTAATTCCATGCTCCAAATTCCAGTCCCTTTCCTACTCCACTCCCTGACCGGAAGCTCCTCCTAGAGACACTTGCTTGGTGCTTGGAGGCAAGGACTCTAGGGGAAGAGCACATCAGCCAAATCACAGTTCTATAACTGACCAGCAGGGAGACCTTGGCTGTGCTACTTAGCCCCCTTATCACTCAGTTTTCCGATCTGTAGAACAGAAATGTGGGTTAATTCATGTGAGACACATAGGACAGTGGCTGGTACCAGAGAGTGCCCTACCTGCTGCTGTTGCTATTACTACCATTCCTTCTTGAGGTCATCTACGCATGTTTGTGTCTCATTTTAAAAGCCAAGCAATTCCCATCCTTAATGTCCCAGGTCTCCACTCTACTTGCTGTACCCTCTGGACCTTATTCCCTGAAGGAGTTGACCATGCTCACTAGCTCCTTCACTTCCTGGCCCATATCAGCCCAGACCCTGCCCTTGCAGTCATGATGAAGCTCTCATCAAGGGGCAGAGCCAGACTACTCTTCTGGACTAGACACAGCCTCTGAAACCAGAAGGAGCTGAAATAGCCCTCTTGCATGTCTTAGTGCTTATACTTAATGCTCCTGGCTTCTCTTCTGTATGGACCTGGGTGCTGTGAGCTAGGTTGCCTACATGGGTTGCTTAATTACCCTCTCCCTGTACTACCCTGGCCACTCCCCATGGTGCTCAGGGCCTCATGTTGCAGCTGCCCTCTCGACCCTGAGTGTAGGCTGGCCATGCTCTTTGCAGTGTTTTCAAAATCCAGAGCAATGACTGGACTTTATTTTTTTGCTAAGGAGTATTGCACTCAGGGGCACTTTACCACTGAGCTACATCCTCCATCCCTTCCATTTTCTATTTTGAAACAGGATCTCACTAAGTTGCTGAGGCTGGTCTCAAACTTGCGATACTCCTGCCTCAGTGTCCCAAGTCGCTGGGAGTACAGGCATGTGCCACCATGACTGGTTTGACTGAGACATTTTTGATGCCCTGAAATATTTCCTGCTGGAGTGTATCTGAGTAGTAGAACATGTGCTTAGCATGTGTAACGCCCTGGGTTCTTCAATCCCCAGTATACAAAGAAACCTGAATAAATGAGTGAACCAACAAACAAAAGAATCAACTATTTCCTTCTATTTGACATAGAAGAAAAGAGATAAAGGAACAGAGAGAATCCTGATGCCCTGATCCCCACAAGTTCAGGGGAAGAAGGAGAGGCAGCAGGAAGTTGGGCAAAAGATGGGGCAAAAAGAAGATGCCACTTGATTGTGATCCTATGGGTATGAGGGCATTTGAGAGACAGAATGGGAACAGGAGCCCCAGTAGTAGAGCCAGTGTGAGAGGCTGTTTTGGGTGCTTCAGAACTGTTGGATTCTATTTGTGTCTGACAAGATTCCATGTGAGGAGGCAAAGGTATTCAAATTTAGTGCTCAGTTCTTAAGAATTTATTAATTATCATTCCTTAAAGCATTGTTATATACATTGAGTACAATCCACATTTTCTATATTTTATACATATCTAATCAAAAATTCTTTCTCTAAATTCAAAAATTCCTTATTTTTTTTAACTACTCTGCCATTAATTATTATTTTTTCTGGTAGTAGGGATTGAACCCAGGGATACTTTACCACCAAAGCTACATCCCCAATCCTTGCTATCTTTCATTTTTAGATAGGGCCTCATTAAGTTGCTGAGGTCCTTGCTAAGTTGTTAAGGCTGGCCTGGAACTTGCAATCCTCCAGCTTCAGCCTCCCAAGTCACTGGGATCACAGGCGTGCGCCACTGCATCTGGTAGGATTCTGATTTCTTAAGTGCTGTGAACACCTTAAAGGAGGCAGAACCTCATAGAGCACAATGGTTTGTGTTGCTTTTTGGATGTATTCCACAGTGGTTCTGATGTGGAGAATAGTATTGAAGATCAGAGTCTTCATGCATGGACAATGGGAGAATTGGGGGTAGATAGATATGCTGCTGGGCCACTCCCCATGTAACAGAATATTTCTAGCTAAATCTCTTGATATTGGGGTGAGACTCAATGTGATCTGGGAAGAGGAGGGGGGCGAGGTTGATAGATGAAGTCAGGGGAAGGAGCAAAAAAGGAGAATAAGGGAGAGGAGAAGCTAGTCAGTATCCATGGGAGGACATGACCTTTTAGGTTGACCTTTACTGCTTTGTGTCCTGAAGGCCTTCAGCCCAGCCTTTCCTGGGCCAGCTGATTTTTGATCTAGGAAAA